TCCTGAGGTAGCTCAGGCTCAGGGAGGATGCTGGAGTAAGGGTCCGCCTCTCTCGACAACAACAACATAAAACAAGTCCCACAAAATGCTCAACTGGACACGGGTTTCGGTAGGTCTCCCCTCACAACAAGACGGGATAGGAGTGATCCTTCACACACACTGCTGAGTCGCCCGCTCTCTCACTCTCTCTCTCTCTCTCACTCTCTCTCTCTCTCTGTTTCTCTCTCTTTCTTTCTCTCTCTCTCCGTTTCTGTGCCTCTGTCCCTCCTCTTCTCCTCCCCTGGCTGTAGGCTGTGAGATCCAGCACTTAAAGGGCCAGCAGCTTGCGCTCGTCCACTGGAGTGTGTGTGTGTGTGTGTGTGTGTGTGTGTGTGTGTGTGTGTGTGTGTGTGTGTGTGTGTGTGTGTGGGTGCGGGTGTGGGTGAGGGAAAGGGGGTCAGTTTTGACCGGAGGGCTCATCAGTTCCTCACATCCAACTCTCAGCCTTGAGTTTCACGACGACTCGGATGACAATTCCGTGCGCCCCCGTTTCAAATCGAGCGACGGTGACACTCGAACTGGACGGGTCACAGAAAGGGAAGGGGGGAAATTTTTTTTTTTTTAAATCACCTTTGCGTCATCAGCTAGTGCGAGATTCAAAGCGAGGTCAACAAAATAAATAAATAAAACCTCGCGTTCACTTCCTGTCGCTTTCTCTGCGAGATTTCAATCTGCCACGTAAGCGACTATTAAAGGATGCGAATTGAGAGGAAACGATCAGACCGCAGATGACACCGGCGGAGCTCTGAAGAGCGAGAGACTTTTTGCGCAAAGGCAGCAAGTGGTTGACGGAGAAGTAGCAACTTCTTGTCTCGTGGAAGTAGTCTTTGAATGTCAGGTTACAAATTGGCGGTCCAGATCCACTAATGACCGGGTATGTCGTCAGAGGACTTATCCCGGGCTGTTATTTGAATCGCAAAGTACCCGTAGCCACACTTTTCGAATTCCCGTTTCCCGTTTTCTAATGACGGGGTACCAACGACTCGTCGACAGGAACAAGTCTTCAAATAACAGGTTACATGTTTGAGTGGTGTTGTCTTTTGCTAATAGGTGGATACGGATCTTGACCGGGTACTGGTATGTTGGCACAGGACTTTTAGGAGTCCCGACAATACAAAATCTCCGACTCAAGAATGATTGATAATACCGAAAGTATGGTTCCACTCTACATGTGACGACCTAGCTTAAATCGCTAACCCTAACCTTGTGACGACTTTTAGACTGGATAGGCATGTTGTTTTCTGTTATATTAATTCATCTTAATGTCACAGTTGCGCATCAACCACTACAATGGACCCTTACGTGTGTAGCCATCCACTGCCATTATTTTTAATTATTTTTTCCATGCCGAAAGACACGTGCGCAACCAGCGTGAGAACCTAGCGGCGATAGCATCGGCGGCTAACAGGATGAAGAGAGGTGTCGCGATAAGCTCGCACCGTTCTCGAAGAATAAATGCTGTGACATAACTTCAGGTTGCATCAACGGACATTAGATCGTTTAGTGAACGGGCAAGCCTTTTAAAAAAAATCGTCTGGATATTTGGTGTCTCGTTTTGTTTAGACACCGGATAGCGGCGAAGGGGACGAAAGTTCACATTGGCGAGATCGTTATAAAAGCTTTCAAAGATGTGTTTATTTGTCCTGCTTTATTCGCTTATCACCGGCTAGTCCGTACAGCATGCCAAAAAAAAAAAAATTCTCTTCCTGTTTACATTCTTGGGAGTCATAAAAGTGTCACATGGTTTGTTGTGACGCATTTGGGGACGCTTGGAATTTTTATTATTTTTCTCATGACCAAGCAGAGGGGTAAGGACAGGCAATCGGTTCCAAACCGAGGACCACCAGACAATCAACTGATTCGGACCACAGAGAATGTCAACGACAGGTGTGAAAGGCCTGATGGGGTTCAACAGTCAGCAACGATGTGGCACTGAGCATCGTTCTAAAAATGCGGATATATTTTCTAGCTAGCAACGGGCTATTCCGTTTTCCTGAAATGGCGTCTTTCAATTCTGATGTGAGCGGTCTTCATCGGCAACAGTATGCTAGCTTGAATTCCTTAATAGGGAGACCATTCAATGACTAATTCATTTTTCGCATAGGTTATATAAAAAAAAAAAAAAAAAAAAACAGGTTTCGAGCATCATAACCGCTCGTCTGAATGTAGTTATTGTCGTACTTGTGGCATTAGCATGATTTTTCTTTTTGGCAGGAACGCAGGGGTGGGGGTGGGGGGGGTCTTCACTCCGACATGGGCTTTGAGCATCCTCCCTCGGTTTTTCAAGGCCATGTTTATGAAAGGTATGAATAGCCCGTACTTTTCCCACCCAAACAAGAGCACAACTTTGAAATAAAAAGCCACAGCGGCGGTCGGTCCGTCCGTCGGTCCTTCTACCTTTTTATTATTATTTTTTTTTTTGTTGTTTTGATGCCTCCCGAACGAGCCAATTGATTCTGCCGCCTGTATTTGATTTGCTTACGAGCAGACAGCTGAACACTTTCAACGGAACATATGCCGGTGCTCTCATGCATGAACACACACATACACACACACGCGCACGCACACACCAAGTACGCAACCTCCGCCAGTCAAATACGCACCCATTGTGTCCTCAGGTGTGCATACTGTACACGTTGTGCGTCAGGGGGTGCGCGCTTTTAGCCCTTTGTGCTGTCACTCACTATTAGCAGTGTGTGGTCTGCGTGTCACACATACGGCCAATCCAGCTATTGTTCCAGCGAGCGCAGAGGAAAGCGGAGTTGACAGACTGCCACTTCTGTAATACTTAAACACACACACACACAGAGAAATGGTTGGATTGGCGGGGGTGGGGGGGGGCAGTCTTGTCACTGTACTTATTCACTGTACACTTAGAATGAATAAGCCCTTTTAGAGCTCGGAAATTTGGATTGCATAATGAAGCTCCGGCTAGAGTCCTCGCAGGTGTGATTAAAAAGAAGAAAAATTGCCTTTTTTTGGGGGGGGGGGGGAATTCATGCCCCCCCCCCCAAAAAATGAGGTTAAGCAAGCTGGAGCCCCTTTTGATGATACCATTCGGCAGCCGTTATAACTCCGAGCCGTGTGAGCGGATATCCTTCGAGCCTTGAGAAGATCCACTTTGACGGCGATTACGTCGTTGACCCATGTCGATGTTCACTAAAAGACAACTTCGCGGTCGAATCACGCTGGTGCTCCATCACTCGAGTCACCGAGAAGAAAAAAAAAAAAAAACAGGCCCAAACGCAAGGATGTAGTTCATAAAAAAAC